GTTGAATCTGGACCATGAAATGTTCCGATGTGCAGTTTAAGTCCACTGCACTTCGAGACGAATGGTCATTTCTATTAATTGTGTACCGGCCCGCCAAAACTTCGGAACTAGGGATGTCCGGCTTTAACCAGGTCTCGGTGCACACAATAACGTGGGAAGAGAATGCGAGACTCTCAAGGAAAAGAGTGCTGAGCTTACTACGCAAGCCTCTAGCATTCTGGTAGGTAACTACAAGAGAGGAAGTTAGTTTTTTGGATGGGTGGAAGTAGAGGTGTAAGATGAGGATGGAGATATAGCACTGGTCTGAATGCTAGGAAGAGTATAGGGGCCTATTCTTTTTCTCAGCCTTAAATTCTTTAACCACCAAATGCTCCGGCCAAAACTTGGCGGAACAAATGGTTTCTAATTGAGTTGGGGAGACGCTTATCTTGAAGGAAGATATCTCCCTGGCGTAAGAAAAGTTCACTCGGTCACATCATTGGATGTGAGGTCAGGGGCTAACCGCGAGAAAAAAACTTGTCGCTTTGGTAGGACTCCCACCATTGGTTTTTGCACCACAGGCCTAGTACCAGTGATGGCAGTATCCGGTGGTCCTGGACATCTATTAGCTGGTGGGAGCGAAACTGAGGGGATAGTTAAGGGGTTGGGTGCGGACTCGATGGACACGGACTCTGCAGACATTTCTAACTGCATACTCTCCGAAGTGACGCATTCGGCTCCCGAATCTGCATCACCAGCAGCGATCGTTGCCCTTGGAGTAGCAAACGTAATCAACTGCTGCACTAAGGGAGTGGTCGGAGTAAGTTTTTCAGATGCCGGCGGACATGAGGCAGTCGGCACTTGCAAGTCCCGCGGAGTAGACTTCTTGCGCCTCGGAGACTCAGCCAGCAGCTGTAAACTGCTGAACTGAGTGTTCATGGCCAAGAGCCGATCATATTGCTGCTTAAAGCCTACGATCAGCTCTTTGAAGCCACTCCGCGTCTGCCTCATGAACGAACGCATGTCGTTTTCCACAGCACGGCATTCCTCACAACTATAATGTAGGCCGTTGTTTTGGGAAATGGCGTCTCCTACACGGCCCGAGATCCCTACACATTTTGCGTGCACTACGCTTTCGCAAAGCCAGTAAGGGATATTGGGCTGGTCAGAGGTGATCTGCTTCTTGCAGGTTTTTTTGGCACAGACGATAGAAAATTCCATATTGATGTCTTTTATTTTTTTTTATTTCGGGAAAAAAAAGTTCAAAACAAATAGCAATCAGAGTACTGTGCAGAGCAAATGCTTAGAGCAATGCTTAAAGCGAAATCGGTAAAAATAAGATGAGAGAGGAGAGTGGTTGTTGTTGTTGTGGTCGAAGACCCAGTTTTCAGCGAGGGCATTGTACTAGTTGTTGTCGATATTAGCAAATCACTGGTTAGGCAGTACGAGTCGGGGGATGGGCACTGAGCACTCCATGACCCACTTTGCAATGCAGGGGAGAGAGAGCGTGCTCTCTCCTCGTTCACTTGCAGTGATGCAGTTTTTGTTGGTCCTGCTGCTTTTGGCGAGCGTATAGAGAAGTACGCGTTGTTTTTTTGCTTGCGAGAGCCGACGCTCGTCTTTTTGTTGTTGCCGGGCTTGGCTCATTTTGGCTTTGGTTACAGTGCTTGTGCCCTTTACCAAGCTGGTGCTCTTAAACGTTGACATTTGTTCTTTTCTATTATTTCTATTAATCTTTATTACACGATTGGATGGTATTCATGGGCAGCACGATCACTAGTACCCATGCCTCCCGCGTTATTCGCGATTTTTGTTATCGTTTTGTTTCCGGCGGGCGTCAAAATCGTCTGAGTGTTGCGTTCATAAAGCGTTCATAAAATATTTTTTAATTTTGTCACCTCTTTTCTGCTGAGTCCCCACTTTAAATACACACAATCCAAACAAAAAACAGCCAGTTCCTTCTTTTTGCATTTAAAATAAAAACTTATAAATTTAATGTTTGTTTGATTAATTTCTATGTTTATCAGTGGCAATTCTATTTTTTATCCATTATTTGGTGTTTTGTTTCTTCAAAAAATTTTTCTGTTAGCCCTAGGGGGGGCCCTAGGCAACTGCTAATCCGGCCCTGGACCTATTCCCGTCATCAGACACAAACGTCAGACTTTATATTTTGTTGGCGTATTCTGTCGCTCGACTCGACGCGGGCCGAGGAATTTACGAAGCCGAAAGCAGAGGCAAAGGCTAGCCTAAAAGAGAATGGAAACCAAAATTCAGTTCAAGCGGAAAAAAATTGTAGAGCCCACACACAAGCATTGTATGTGTGAATACATGGCATACACATATTTACGTAACCAGGAAACGAAACTCAAAACAAACTCAAAACGGTTCCGGAAAATAAGAATTTTTTTGTCGTGTTTACACACATACATTTACAATACTCAGCTTGCATTCGCTTCCCGACATGAGTCATACATGCCGAACGGCCCAGCTCCCGACCCGAATGTCTCAGCCTCACAGAGCCGAAGGCCCTGGGAGCTGGGACAGAAAACTCAGCTGCGACACGTTCGTTGTATGAACTGGTACATCTATATACTGTATGGTTAGTGGTTAAGCATAGGCCCCTAGTGGTGGCAAAAAGTTGCGTCGGTCTCTGATTCATGTGCGTCTATTCGATATATTCATTGCTTTTGCGCTTAACAGCACATTTTTTCACTTTTCTGCCTATCAGCGCAACTATCACCACTAATAAACAACAAAAACTTGTGGATCAAAAATCAAATTTTGGCGCTAAAAATTGATGGTTGTGCAAAAAGATGAAAATATTCTTGAAAATAATTGTATTATTATCATACGACATTTTTGTGACCCCTGATGATATTAAGACACTGCTCGAGACGAACTTCGATGGTTTTTATAATTTGAAGAACACAAACTCTACAAAGAAATGTCTGAAAATAATAAATAAATATGAGAATCAATTCTCTTTCATCCATTTTCTTGTCGTCTTGCATAATTCTGTTAATTTCTCCAAATTTGTTTTTCTTTCCTTGTCATCAAGCACCCAAATCAAAACTGAAGTCGCACGTCTGCCAATGTAAACGCATTTTCTGCTTCATTGCGTCTATTCCGATATCGATAGAAGACGCGCCCAGTGTAAAAAGGCTATTAGAGATAGGGGTACAGAAAAGAAAATATCGGGCGACGATCCCTAACTATCTTATAAAATAAAGAGATATTCGTGATCCGGCTTTCACTTGTGCGTTTTACGTCTCAGCAAAAAGTCATACCTTTTCACCTGTTAAGCGCAAAATTTACTGCTGTTACACCCAAGCGTTATTGCCAGCTTATACAAAAAAGGCCTCTGTTATGTTTAACAGAGATTTATCGATAACCAAATCAGGCAGCCACAGCTGTTCGGCCAAATCCACTATTTGTTGTGTCATTGACCAATTTTTTCAAACCCAATTATGAGGTTGGTTTAAATACAAATTATAAAAAAAGGCTCAATTGCACTGGTAATGGTGTCAAATCCATGTCAATTCATCAATCAGTCATGTATTTTTATACCCGTGCTCGAAGAGGTTAGGGGTATATTAGATTTATGGTAAAAGTAGATGTGTGTAGCTCAGAGAAGGAAACGTTTCCGACCCCATAAAGTATATATATTCTTGATCGGCATCAATACCCGGGTCTAAGTCTGTCTATCGGTCCGTCCGTCTTGTTTGTCGCCTAGTTCTCAGAGAGCTAGAGCAACCAAATTTTGTCTCCAGACTCGTGATATCACAATGTTACAAGTGTATTTCAAAACTTTCCCTCGGACCCTTCCGCTCACTCAAAGGACGAAAATCTGTGGCATCCACAATTTTGAATATTCGAGAAAACTAAAATCGAAGTATCGTAGAGATTGCCTGATTAATATTGGATCATTATTATATCCAGAATGAAGAAATTAATTTTCAGTTGCTTACCTCGTCCCTCCGCGCAACAGACGGTACTTATTCTTTCTCGCTCGCAAACACTCTGCCCTGTGCAGTGTGCAACCTTTCGCGGAGATAATCTACATTGTAGATGTAGATAACAGATGTACCAAATAAATGTTATATAAAAAGTATTTTGAAATTCCACATATGTATGTATATCATAAGCTCAAATATTTATATAATGACTGAGTACGGGTATAAAAGTAAAGTCGCGTCCACAGAAGCGACTTAAAACGTTCCTTTTCGTTTCATTTTGCAATTTAGATTCGTTTTGTTGTATACTTTTACTTTTCATTTCGGCAAGTGTTGTTGCCATTTTGAAAACGGAACAATTTTTCGTTTTCCGAATTCGTTAGAACCTACCGTTCCGTTTTCAAAAGTAAATCGTAATTGTTTTTGCAATTGTGAAAATCGGTGCCTACCTGACTATTTTCAAACTTAGAGTTATGATATGATTAGTATTCAGACTGGCTCGTCTTTCTTCGTCGACAGAAAGTGCTATATATTTCGCTGTGCCCAGTGTGACCAAAGTGTGAAAAGTGTATGCTTTACTGTAACACTGTTTTGTTTGTTTAACACAAATCCGTTAAAATTTCAAATTTTGTATTAAAGCAAGCAAGCCAGAAATGTCTTATTTTTGGTCGCTGTGAAGCTGGAGGACAACAATGCAGATCGTAATATTGGATAAATCCGATCCTGCAGAACAGAAATGCAGTCAACATGTTTTTTATCTGCTTAAAAATATATAAAATGAGTACCGGGTATAAAATTAATGCATAATAATATCTATATTATCGGCATTCATTCGAAAGCCTTAATTTGTAAACTAATATAGATTTTCCATTGAATCTGCTGAGGATTCCTGCAGCGTTTTGGTAGAGACTCAGGTTTGATATCCCCTGAACAAATAGTGCAATTTTTTTTTTTAGAACATATCCAACCATTTTTATTTGTTCTCGTTGTCCTCCTGTCTTTACCAGACTACGCAACAAACTTTTTTTTTAGCAATTGCCCCTTAACTAAGAAATTTAAGGTAATTTAATATTTTTTTTAGTATAACTTTAATTAGCGTTCCACTTAAGATATCAATAAAATAAAAATGTTACATCAGCAATACAAAAATTAAGAATGCTTCTTTGCATATCTACGATCAAAATTGTAGATAAATTGGAGATAAACTTAAAGATAAAAAAACTTTTTCTCAAGTGCATTCTGTGGAATGGCGTGCAAATGTGTACCTACAAGGGTAGCTAGTTTTTTAGCATACTGGCAAACAGCTGGGACCCGTGTAGTTCCCGACCAGTTATAATAAAGATGGCACATCTTATATGTGAGCTTTTGGATTTGGTCAGGGTTGAGACGTATGTTGCTATAGAGCACATTGTAGCTAGTTGGCGATACTGTTCCTTGGCGAACCGTCTGTGACACCAAGTAAAAGTCGTATCTTTCGGGAAGAGTGACAATATCATCTACTACCGTTCCAGGGGGGGGGTTTCTTCCGTTTCTAAAAAATCGTGTGTTGCAAGATTTAGTGACCACAATGTATGCCAGCATCGGTGGAGCACTATTTGCACGCTTATATTCAATATCAAGCTTTTCCACAATATCTTTCACTTCGTATTCGAACAACTGCTTTAAAGATCCTGCGCTAACACCGTCCCGATAAAATAGTATACGTGTTGGTAACTTTTGATGCTCTCTCTGATATTGTCTCAGGGCCTTGGCTATCATTGGCCAAAGAGTATTAGCTAGCACATCAAAGGCACTGCACTCAGATACCGTGCTAAAGTAAGTTGAATTCTGCTGAAGATCCATTGAAGCAACTAAAGCACCATAAGCCTTGCGGCGGTCTCGTGCGCTTTTCGCAATATCAAAGCCAATGGTCATTAAACCGGAAAGTGGCAACTCAATCATCCATGGTGTGTACCCCAATTTACAATTCAATTGAATTGCTATTTTTGTTGCAATACTCATAAGGCCTCGATTTTTTGAAGTTTTTACAGTCACAACTTGAGTAGGAACGGCTCTGTCAATACATCCTCTCTTTTTAATAGATGAGTATCTGAAAAACATATGTATTTGATTTTGCATTGAAATGTTATTTTGATTACACTAATCAACACGACATTTACGCTGTGGACCAAAATGATTTTTTCTTATAGATTTCAAGGTTTACAATTTTTTAACGAATTATGGTTTTTTTTTATGGTTTATTTTTCTTAAAGAATTTTTTTTAGAAGGTATTTTTCACATAACTTAACTATCTTATATCTGGTTGCATAGAACTTTGTTGTTCTGAAAAGCTGACAAACGCTGCTACACTTATGGACAAAATAATAGGAGTGCTTTTTTTTTTTTTCAACTTTTGATTTCTAGTTCATATCTTCTCTAATCTCAAAAATCAAAGTTTTTTCAAATCTTATATTAATTGTAAAGAAAAAGTAAAAACAGTTTCACAAACCCTTTAATTTACAAGAAAATTAAATATTTCCTTAAATCTGTCAATTTTGGCTGGACACAATAATAGGTGTATGACGCAAAACATTAACCTGTAGCTTATTAAGATAACTATTTGCTTGCAGAAGGTAGGGTATTAGGAAAATATAACTAAATTGGGACTTAACAGCCATTAAAATTGTATTTGATGGGCCGTGGGCGTCACTGTAGTGTGAAGGAGAGAAGGCTCATTCGACGACTCCAAGATGAAGGAAAAACGTATAAATCCATTGCCAGGTTAATGAAACGATCTCAAAACTTCGTAACAAATGCCATAAAACCAAAAAAGTAGGTGAAACTCGGGAGCACCCAGAAAATCATCATCTAAGACCGACGATCGCATGGTTCAGTTGGTTAAACGCGACCCGTTCAAGTCCTCCAGGACGATTGCCAACCAAATTGGGAATATTGTGTCATTACGGACCGTTCGTCGGTAGCAAACCTACCAGGTAGGATTGCTCATGGGGTTCCTTTGCTTCGTTCGGCAAATTTACAGATGAGGAAAAAATTTGCACTAGATCGTATAACCTGGTGCGGACCGGAGGGTGAGAAAAAATGGCTTAATATCCTCTGGAGTGACGAAACCAAGATCAATTTATTTGGAAATGATGCCAAAAGGAATGTTCGTCGTCCGAAAGGCAAAGAATTTGATCCCAGGTACACATGTAAAACTGTGAAACATGGAGGTGGTCGCCTAATGGTATGGGGCTGCTTTTCATGGTATGGTGTTGGTCCGATTCATCGTATTGACGGAATAATGGACAGATTTGTATACAAAGATCTATTGGAGACGGTGATGCTACCATATGCCGAGGATAATATGCCACTTTTATGGAAGTTCCAGCAGGATAATGACTTGAAGCACGCCTCTCGAGTAGTAAAGGATTGGTTCCGAGAGCAAAGTGTGGATGTTCTTGGGTGGCCAAGTCAATCCCCGGACCTTAATCCCATCGAGAATCTCTGGGGTGAACTCAAAAGAGAGGTCGGGATATTGGGATATTGTCCAAAGAGTAGGTACAACATTCCAATTGGAACTTGTCGCAAGTTAATATCCTACATGCCAAGACAAATGGAGAAATCCCTCCAAAATAATGGCGGATATACCGGGTATTAGCTGCCAGACACTCAATTTAATATAAAACGAGAAGGAACGTGTGAGTCGCTTCTAAAGACGCGACTCTACTTATACCCGTACTCAGTCAGTATTTACATTTTTGAGCATATGATTTTTTAGAATTTTAGAATTAAAAAAAAAAAAATTTACATTTTACATTTTTTTGCTACATCTGTTATCTACATCTACAATGTATATTTTACATCTAACATGTAGATTATAGATGTACTATTCATATACTACATCTTTTCCGCTAGGGGTTGCTCGCGCACTGAACGCGGCAGAGTGTGCGAGCGAGAAGGAAAATGAGTTGCGTTGTCGTTGGCAGGAGGAGGCAGGGGAAGCAACTGAAAATTAATTTCGTCATTCTGTCAGATTCGGCAATCTGGTAGATATGGTCATTCTCTACGATACTGCGTTTTATCGTATCTTTAAAATTGTGCCTGCCACAGATTTTCGTCCTTTGTGGGGGCGGAAGGGGGCGGTGCGAAATTCTGAAATACACTTGTAGCAGTGTGATATCACATAAGTCTGGAAACCAAATTTGGTTTCTCTAGCTCTTATAGTCTCTGAGATCCAGGCGCTCATCGAGACGGACAGACGGACAGACAGACAGACAGACAGAGACAGACAGGCAGACAGGCAGACAGGCAGACAGACAGACGGACAGACAGACAAGAATATATATACTTTATGGGGTCGGAAACGTTTCCTTCTCTGCGTTACACACATCCACTTTTACCACAAATCTAATATACCCCTTAACTCTTTTTGAGTACGGGTATAAAAAGACCTAAAATAGTGAAATATCGATTTAATTTAAACATTTATCTTCGTACACCTATTATTGTGTCCAGCCAAAATGGACGGATTTAAGGAAATTTCATAATTTTTTTCTGTATTTATTCCCGAAATTTTGATTTTAAAAACTCAGGAAAAGTAGAAAACAAAAAATAATTCTTGGCATGCATTTTTAGGTTTAGATACACGTATTAATTGAGAGACGGTGGAGCTAAAATTCGTTAGCCAAAGCTCAAAAATGAAAAAATAGATAAAAAATACTTTTTGGAAGGTTGCGGCCCAATTTGAAACAAAGCAAACGTATTCCTTTGGCATTGGACCAGCAAGGGGTTTCTCAGGTAAAATGAGTTTTGAGTCGTTTTGGTCAAACGGCTGCAACTTGGCTGCAACCGTTTATCCATCGATTCTTACAAACGATACCTTAAGGCTTAAGCGACGCCAAGAATTATTATTTTTTTCAACTTTTCCTAAATTTTAAATCAAAAAAAAAAAAAATACGTAAGAAATTATGAAATTTGAAAGCTTAATCCAGGCGTTAAGCTGCAGCTACAAAGTTTCTAGGTCGGATTTATAGCTGCATTTGTCACCTTTTCAGAACTGCAATGTTCCATGCAACCAGATATAAGATACTTAAGTTATGTGAAAAATAGAAGCACTACCTCTGACAAAAACCAGATTTTAAAAATTCGTTAAAAAATGAAGGAACGTGCGATACGCTTCTGAGGATATGAGTTTTTAGAATTAAAAAAATGTTTTTACATTTCACATTTTTTTTGCTACATCTGTTATGTAAATATACATCTACAATGTATATTCTACATCTAACATGTAGATTATAAATGTACCATTTATATTCTACATCTTTTTTGCTAGAGGGCGCTCACGCACTGAACGCTGCAGAGTGTGCGAGCGAGAAAGAGAATCAGTAGCGTGTTTCATGAAGGGGGAGACGGGGGAAGCAACTGAAAATTAATTTCGTCATTCTGGCTATAATTATGATTCAGATTCGACAATCTGGTAGATATGGTCATTCTTTACGATATTGCCTTTTCAGTTTTATCATATCTTTAAAATTGTGCCTGCCACAGATTTTCGTAATTTGTGGGGGCGGAAATTTTGAAGTACACTTGTAGCAGTGTTATATCACATGAGTCTGGAAACCAAATTTGGTTTCTCTAGCTCTTATAGTCTCTGAGATCTAGGCGCTAATCAAGACGGACAGACAGACATGGCTATATCGACTCGGCTATTGATGCTGATCAAGAATATATATACTTTATGGGGTCGGAAACGTTTCCTTCTCTGCGTTGCACACATCTACTTTTACCACAAATCTAATATACCCCTTAACTCTTTTTTGACAACGGGTATAAAAACAAAGTACTACAAAAATTTGTAAATCCCGAAATCTATCAGAAAAAGTCATTTTGGTCCACAGCGGAAAGAAAAAGTTCAATTTTTTCGAGTAGTGTTATCAAACCTTTCTACATTATTGTTGGGAACAAGACACAAGATTAATTTTGGATCCATGCGCGTACAATCATCCATAGCGCGCACATATGTCGCAGTGCGATCATCGTAAATTTTTAATCTAAAAGTAAAGAGGTTATTTTAAGAAGATGTACATTTTTAAGTGTTACGCTTACTCATGTGGGCTTCTTATTTTCAGCCCCATACCAGAAGCGGCACGAAGCAAATTTTCAAGCAAATTTTTAAGGTCAAAGGAATTGCGCTCCGGTGCAATTACGGCCCACCGGTCGAGACCCTCACTGGGAGTTGTGAGCAGCCGTTGGTCACGGAAGCATCTTGTCCAATCGGCAGTTTCGCCAGCAGAACATCTGAATACAACTTATTTATATACAAAATCCCTTTTTTTTATTTGACTCACTTTGATTGATTAAAGACAATTTTCTGCGGTGGAATTATCCGTCCTTGTACTTCTGTCAGATTTTCATCGAGTTTCATGTTCCAGTCTTTTAGTACCTTCACACTATCGGCAGTGGTTTGCAAACGATTGTTGAATCTACGCAAACGATCAATGCGGCGGTCAGGATTCATGCGTGTGTGCTCTGACATTGCTCGCATTAGTCTGTAATAGGGTTAGACATTTTAGAATAATGTAATCTTAAATGTTTAAGATAGCTGGATTTTCAGGTCTTACTGAAAATTAGAGCGCATGGCGTCAGTAAGTCCGGTAACTCGGCATAGCTCTGGAATAAGAACTACGACATCACTGGCATTGGTTTTCTGAGACTTGTCCCTATTTTTTGAAATTAACAAGGGCTGATTGTGGTCACGAATGCGTATATTATATTTCTAAAACGAATAATGTTAGTTATTTTCTATTTTCTTTTATCGTCGCCAAGTATTGGGGTTTTTTTTTTACTCACAGTCAGATAGTACTCGATAAAACTAATATCTTTCCCTTTGCAACTAAATGTAGACTTTGGGGTTTGTGCAAAATCCACATCGTTAATGCGGTATGTTTTGTTGTTATAATCTGTAAGAACAACCAAATCTAGAACATTCACGCGAAATTCGTCTTGATGGCGTGAGGGGTTATTAGAACAACGTTTCAATATCTCATACACAGTTTCAGTGCGCATAACTTTATGTGTTATTTCTGTACACAGCATAATATCTTTTTCGTGTTGTCGGATAGAAGTTTCATATCCTGGCCAGAGTTCCATTTGATGATCTCGGATCGGTATCTACAAATACTATATATGTTAGATAAAGGTAAAGAAAAAAATCTACATCAATCTGATATACCTTTGCGAGTGGATCAAAAAGATTGCGCCCAACTAACTCAAGCTTCAGACCCTTCATGGAGCGGCGCAAAATAAGATTTAGCACTTGCAAAAAGCGTGGTTCTGCGTTCGATATAATTCCCACACACTTTATGGATATTTTGTAGTCAATTCCCATTTTTGATTGTCCACACAGCACAGTTAAATCCTTCTCAAATTTTTTGGTTGTGAACAATTGTTTTCCATCAAATAAATAGCCTGATCCCAAAATATTAGTGTGATTTGACAGTATGCCCATACGCACGCGTATATTTTCCAGCTCAGGCTCAAAATCCACATGGTAGTGAACTATACGCCACTCTGGCTTGGTTTGTAATCGAAAGAAGTTTGATTGCAAGCGAATAGGTTCTCCCTCATGGCCTTGCTTCGACACGACATCAGCCGGACGTGTCTTCACAATATCAAAGCGATCCAAGTGCTGCCGTTCCTGCATTGGACCTCCTTCCTGTCTCGATGACACATGAGATGGGTCACGATTGGCTGCAGCGCCACTGGACCGCCCCGATGTGGAAGCCTCAGATTGTCCTTTGAAAATCTTTGCACGCTGCAAAAATAAATTTCGAATAGAAAAATTGGAAAAAATTATATTATATTTTGTGGTTTAAATTCATACATGCCCATTTATAATGGGTATAGGAAAAGTAGCTGCTGCTGCGCTACCGTATTAGTGTATTACAGTGTTTGGAACCAATACAATGTGTAATTTGAATTTTTGCTATATCTGTCATCTAGTTCTAAAACGTTAATTTAGATCTAAAATGTAGATTTTACATCTTCCCCGCGCTCACTGAACAGGGTAGCGTGTGTGCGAGCGAGAAAGAGAATAAGTAGCGGCTGCAGCGCTGGTGGAGGGTGTGTGGTTAGCAACTGAAAATCTGATCCAGATTTTTAATAACAGTTAAAACGAGAAGGAACACGTTTGAGTCACTTCTGTGGACGCGACTCTAACTTTATACCCGTACATTTAAAAAATTGTTTGCTACATCTGTTATCTACATTTACATCTAAAATGTCGATTCTACATCTTCTCCGCGAAAGGTCGCGCACTGCACAGGGCAGAGTGTATGCGAGCGAGAAAGAGAATTAGTAACGCGTCTCTTGCTGGAAGAGGTGGGGAAAGCAACTGAAAATTAACTTCTTCATTCTGGCTATAATTATGATCCGATCTGATTCAGATTCGGCAATCTGGTAGATATGGTCATTCTCTACGATACTGCGTTTTCAGTTTTATCGTATCTTTAAAATTGTGCCTGCCACAGATTTTCGTAATTTGTGGGGGCGGAAATTTTGAAATACTCTTGTAGTGACATCACATGAGTCTGGAAACCAAATTTGGTTGCCCTAGCTCTTATAGTCTCTGAGATCCAGCCGACAAACAAGACGGACAGACAGACATGGCTCTATCGACTCGGCTATTGATGCTGATCAAGAATATCAGGGGTGCCACAGAAATCACTAGTGAAATGGGAAACCGAAGAGAGGAGTTGTCTGGCAACTTAAAAAAAACACACATCTGAATTTTACGTTAAACTTAATTAAAATGCTTTTACCGAGACTGTTGGCCATCGAAGAACTACGGAGGCAACATATTATAATACAAACCTTGCAGCGCAGGCTTCTCAGATGCGCATCGGACTCGTTTTTGCGCTCAGACGATACGTATGCGGTTTTTGTGATTGTCTTATCAAACTATTGCTAATTTAGTTCATTACAACTATCAGTTTTAGGTATAATGATCGCTATGATTCTATTTGTGCTGCCATGGGTCTGCACTTAGCCGAACAGGGGTTTTCGACATAAATGCAATGGCAATAATGTGTAGAAATGGTTTGTTAGTTCTGTTCTGGCATTTTGAAGCGATGCCACCTGGTAGAACTACAAATGACTAAAATGTTTTTATAATTTGCACAAAAAGTATGCACACGTTTGACGTAAAGGAAGTTTTACTACAATAAGCTATTTTTTGTAATGCTTAATTAAAGAAAAACAGAATGCTTTCAATATAATTAATATTAAATATATTGCTCCGAATTCGACTTAAAAAAGGTGGCATTACTGTATTAACTTCGAAAGTCCGAATCGCCCTAGGTGGCCACCTCGGTCTGCAGCGGATTGAGAGTGGAATCGTCAAGTGAAAATTCAGTCAGCGGATTGGATAGTGATTTACTAAAATGCTTATTTTATTAACTTAACCTGTATAATGTTAAATTATTTGGATGAGGGTTAACCTCCAATTGAACAATCTTTATGGGAAAGTAAGATTCGAATCGTTTTAGGTGTGTTTTATTTAATAAAATCGCTGGATAAATTGTGAGCGATTTTTAATCCGCTGAAAAATCGGTGTGTGGCACGGCGGAATGGAATTGAGGTGATTTTCCAGCGGAAGTGATTTCTGTGGCACCCCTTTATATATACCTGATGGGGTCGGAAACGTTTCCTTCTCTTCGTTACACACATCCACTTTTACCACAAATCTAATATACCACTTAACTCTTTTTGAGTACGGGTATAATAACTTTGGAAATGAGCACTACATACAGTTGTGGTCAATGAAAAAGTAGTGCTGCACCTCATCTCTTTTTGAGACACTTCCAGCTATCCAAATTGAACAAATTATACCTTTTTAAATAAACTGGACTGTTAGCATTAGAAAACCGAAGAAATATCCATTCATTAGAGTTCCATCTTCTTGTTTTACATGACATAAGCCGAATACCCATGAAATTTGCTGTTCAATGAAAAGGTAGTGTTTTTTTAGAACATCGAAAAAACAACGAATCTCAAATAAAAACATATATTTCATGTTTCCTGAGCTTTAGTATTTAGTTTTTAATCAATTTGGTTTTCATTTCGAACTTGCACCGGCCGAACATGGGTCATTAATCTCTTGCCAACGCTTCAATAGGATTTGAGCCAATAATCCATGAACCACTTGCTAAAACTTGACTCTGGTTAACGAATTTGCAGTTGCAACAATGTATTTGGTATTCCCCCATAAGATTTCGATGAGATTAATATCCAGTTGGACATTGTCCATGGAAAAACGTCGATCTTTTCCGATAACAATTAATTCCTAGCGAGCTTTTATGGGTGTTTCAAGTCATTATCCGGTTAAAATATCCTTTTAGCAGTAATTTTTCAACTGTAATATGAATGTAATGTATTCTTAAGTATGCCTACATACACAGTTTCGCTCAAAACCACACTATACTCAAACGCCAGGCCAGAAAGTACTAGCTCATATGAGCTGGGCCCCATAAGGCTCAGCCTAGCATGCTATATATTTTATGATTTTAAGAGGTAATCGGATTTCTATGTATGCCAAGCCTATTCTTTTGAGCCTATCTTACCATATAATACAACTTTACTATCATTAGTCAAAAGTATTTTTTTCACTGTGACAGAGGCCATTCCACATGCGTTTTTCCTAACTGAAGTCGTGCACCCATGTACTCTCAGACCCAAACGCGGAGCTTTCTGGGACTTTATGCATTCAAATAATGTGTAATCAACCGTCTACGAACTGACACATCACTGACAGAGCGATTTGAAATTTTTTTCATAATTTTTGAGGATTTTGAAGGCCTGGTGGTCTTTCATTTGACCATCGCCGACCATCCTCTAAAAAATAGTTTTTCGAATACAAAATCGATTTTCAGTCTACTTCTTATAGATAATTGGATTAAATACAATAGTGAGAGTGCATACAACATAAATTCCAATCCCATTATACCTCCTGCCCTAAGTTTTTTGTCCAACTCTTAGGTCTCCTCTTCTGTACCGAGCAATGATATCTTCAACGCTTCAAAATCAAAAGTACCACTATGTCCAAAACATTCTTTCATCAAATTATTCGATATGAGCTTGCGGATGGTGACTTATTTAAATTAATTAAATTACTAATTACTAAATTACTATTTCATTAAACAGCAGATATCATGGGTAGTTGTCTAAAGTCATGAAAAACAAGAAGATGGAATGCAAATGAAACGGGGTTTCTTCGAGTTTCTAATGCTTGCATTTCAGGTTTTCTGTAAAGGTATCACTTTTTCAATTTGAAAGACTTGAAATCTCTCAAAAAGTGTTTTGAGCGTTGTTTGCTGCGGCACTACTATTTCATTGTACACAACTGTATTTCATATACATGCCCCCTTCCATTTTGTCCCCCAACCATGTATAACACCTGACTAATAAAATACTTGACCTTAACTTGACCACTTGGATAGATTTTAGAACTTTAGTATACTTTCATAAAATTGTGACGACTCAAGAACCGATTTACCTTTACTGCAAACTTAAACCTGCTACATAGCAACGAACCACCAACTATTTATGCCCTCGAACTTAAACGCTTTGTTCGAAGAGGCAGTTCATTGGCAATGCAATCCGCTTATGGATCAGTCTTCCTCATCATTAGGAGCGCATCTCAATTTCAAATTAAAATCAAAGAACATTTAGGAAACCATTAAAAATAAGCATAATAAATAAACTCATCAATATAAAAATAAATAAATAAATAAATAAATAAATTTAAAACAAAACAAAACAAAAATAATGTAAAAGTATTAGATTTAAGTACATAACTCTTTTCAAAACGTCAATGTATAAGTATTAGATTTAAGTAGATAACATCCATACATATACATGTAACAGGGAGTGAGCAAGTCGTCCCACTGAAGGATCATTGGTTAACAGCAGTGACAGAAGAGCAGCAGCCGTAACAGTAGATGAACAGCAGTAACAGCAGAACGAGAAACAACAGATCTGCTGTTAACCAGCAAAGGCAGAGGAAGAACACAGCAGAGAAGAAGATCAGCAGAAGGAGTAGAAAGATAACCGAAGCAGAGGGACGCAGCGTTGAACAGCAGAAGCAGAAATCAGCCGATATCAAGCAGTTTTAGAAGCCCAACTATTCTTACCATTACCTGTGCACCGCGATATAATATCAATAAAACTATACCTAAATAATAACTTACATTTGGGGGCTCAACCGGTCGCGTATTGCCAGCGAAAAGTGAGAAGAATTTGTATACCGTATGTCTCACAAGCAGCCAGAAGATAAAGCGAGACGGAAGAAAAGTTGTGCGCCGCAAGTCTCAGAAGCCGCCAGCAGAAGAACCGAGACAGCTAGACAGCAAGTGAGTGAAAAGCAGAACCGTGAAAAAAAAGGTTGTTCCAAGCAAAATAAAAGCGCACCAACAGCCAAGAATATGCAGCAAAACGAAGGCTCAAGTGGGTCAGGGGCATGCGGGAACTATCGCCGAAACACAGACAAAGAAGCGATGAGTGCAGCAGTCATAGAAGAAAACACACAGACGCTCCAACAGCTAGTACAACTTCTCTCGATGAAAATTAGTGCTGATGAAATGGACAAGAAAAACGATGCAAAGCTGGTAGTGGAAAATTTTTCCAAAAATTATTCCAGAATACAGCGGAGAAAATATGTCGGTACAGCAGTGGTTCAACAACTTCGAACTAAACACTGATGCATATGGACTTAACGACAAACAAAAATACGTCCAAGCCGAGCAAAAATGAAATGTA